CAGAGAGTGACAGGGATCCTTGGATCACTTGGTTCTTAGCTGAACTATTGTGAAGAATAATAATAAAATGACTGAGGTCTGGGAATGAACTTGATTCTTAAAGTAGCTGGAGTTATCATTGTTCCTTTATGGCATATACAAATTAGGTAAATTTGGGGAAACAAAACGGAAGGATTCATCACTTTTTGCTAGTGCTAAAATGCAAATTTCTCAAGAAAATACACAGGCAGTTATGGTTTTTGTGAGTGTTATTTGAGGAGCTGCTGCTTCCTCAGTCTACAGTTTGGAAGATGGGCTTGCTTGTCATTCAAGGGAGTTTACGTGCCGAACTCTGAAATTCCACACAGTTTGAAATATAGTTAAATAAATAAATGAATAAACAACTAAATACATAAATAAGTGAGAATGGAATTGCTACACTTTCTTTTCTTACTCCTAACAACCACAGGAAATCTTACTACCTCCTCTGGCTGTCCACAGAATAACAAAAGCAGAAGTATAGGAGGTGGTTAGATACCTACTGTTTGGTTAGTGGCACAACCTTGTGGTTTTGTCTAGAGACAGGGCTAAGCCATTCCTAGTGAAAGGAAATTAATCTCAAATTTGAAGTGTACCCAAATCTTCCAACCAATACTCCGGTGTGTAATTATTCTATTCCTAAGGAGATGTTCCTCTTCTTTGAATAATAAAAGGAGGAATTGAGGAGCAACGGGGAACTGCTTAGGAATCTTGCTTTTGTCCCTGTGTCCTGTAGAGGGGGAGAAAAAATAAATAAATTTCCGTTGCTGAGAACAAAATGGAGAGGCAGCTTGGATTAAATAGTGATCCTTTACCCAGCATTCCCCCAGACGGAATGCCATAATGACTGATCAGCATAGCCCAGTGCAGCTGGCCCTAGGCTGAAACCTCAACTTGAATACCTACACCCATCTGTGAACATTTGAATGAGTTCCTCTCTGCCTCATTTGGGGGGGGGGGGATAAAAAGAGAACCGTGGTGTGTCTGTGAAGAGGAAATTACTGTATTGTGTATGGAGAATGTATTGCCATAGTTTTAAAAGTGTTCTTTGCGTATTTGCAAAAGACAAATGATATTAAGGACAAACTCATCTTCCTTTACGCAAACTTCTCTTGTCTTTACACTTTGGGACACATTTTATTTGCTACAGGAAGTGGCATTTTCCTTAAGATTACAAGGCAAAATTTGTACCTTGAAATACCATATAGCTTGGTGGAAAATACTAGGTTGAGAGACTGATTACACCTGAATTCAAATACTACTTCAAGTTTGACTGGGATGGCATTCAAATCCATTCTCAGTTTCTTCAACTATGGTAAGAACTGGCACGTGATAGGCTACCAGCCAGATCTGGCCCATTTTCCAGTATTCTTGTCAGTAAAGGTTTTTTGTAAACAGAGAGAGCCATTTGTTTGTACGTGTCTATGAGTGTTGTTGGACTACAAAAATGGGTCTTACCAGAGAACGTAGACCTCTGCCCTACAAAGTCAAAATTATTTGTTCCTTGGGCATCTCCAATAAGAGAAAAAGATTACCCAGATGTAACTTTTGGCAAGGACAAGGAGAAACACAAGGTAGAATTTATACACCACAGAGAGTCAAGCCAGGGCAACCACTATCACTCTGGACTCAAAATCTAAACCTTGTACTTTTTTTTTGTTGGTGGTGGTTTTGTTGGCTGTTTTGTTGTTGGGTGGCATTTTTTTTTGTTTTTTCCTATCCTCTGTCTACAAAGCCATTCTGTCCAAAAACAAAATATGAGCTGGACTTCCTCTAACTTGGATTAAACTAATCTGTAACTCCACCACACCTGTGTGCTCAGGAAATTTCTATGGCCCTATTCATCCAAAGCACCAGGATTTATGTTCCATTGTTTGGGAACATTTGCTTTCTATCTCAGCGTTTCCACAGTAATTATACAGGAGACTTGATAAGACTTGGCACGTATTTGTTTTCCATTTTTAATTTTTATTTAGAAATAATAAAATAAGACATAATATATAAAAATATGTACAATCCATGGTTTGTGCAGTACAATAGGAAGACTTTAGATACAAAAAAAAGAAGAGATGGCAAATGGGAAAATTTAATAACTATCATGATTGTCAAAGGCCAGAATTGATCAGCTTACCAGAGCCCAGAGCTGAAACCTAACATTATTTTTTTTTTAATCTAGTGTGTTGAAGATCGTGAGTAAAGAGATAACTATTCAACACTTTGTACATTTCCACCTGAACATTATTAAACACAGAGTGAAGACAAACTCACTCTATTTCTTGGGTTAAGTCTTTTCCCTTTATGGAGTGACTTATAAAATAAAGGCTGGCATTTATTATTTGCCAGAGGAACATGAGTTTTTGAGGATAGAACTAACCCAATGCACATTAGGAGTTGGAGGGTGTGGGGCAACTGGGAAGAAAAGAAGCATAGGGAAGGAATAATGCATGTACTAGAACCAAACAAACAAACAAACAAACAAAAAAATAGAAGTCCAACAAACTTTCTCTAGGAATTTTGAAATGGCTACAGTGCTGTAGTGACATCCTTAGCATGTCTGGTTCAAGTATACTCTTAGAGGGATAGAAAACTATTCCTTTCTCAGTAATCAAAATAGAATTCACTTTGTCTACCTCTTATTTAAAAATAGAATAACCAAGAATCTATGCCTCCCTCCCTCCCCCACAAAAAAAAAAATAGAATAACGCCCTTCCAGATAGGGGCAAACATTCTTTAAAAGGGAACACATCATAAAGAAATTCGAACAGGATCTGCTTACAAGAGAGAAGCAACATGCATCTGAGAATCAACCCCAGATATTCACGATGAGTCTCCTCTATCTGTCTTCTAGAGACCAGTGTGCACTAGTTAGGCAGACCCAGTCAATAAGGACAAATATGTTGAAGGTAAAATGCTATAAATAGTGTGCATTACCTGTGTCTTGGCTCTTGACAAGAAAAAAAAATAATAGCCATTTAAAGCTTGTAACTATTAAATTGCTAATAACTATAAAAAGCTTTCAACTGAACAGTCCATGCTGAAATAAATAACAGAGGAACATAGCACTACAAATCTTACAAGGTCAGTAAATATTAGCTAAAACCATGCTAACCGGTAGCATATAGGAACTAGCTCCCAGAAATTGCTGCACGAAATGATACTTTCTGTGGCATTATTTGTTTTTTTTTCTTTACACACTCCTATTTACATTTGGCTTTAAATATGAAAATATCTGATAAACTTTATAAAATGTACACTTTAAAAACATAGCTTCTGCAAAATTTTTCTTGAAAAAAACAAACAAACAAACCTGTGCACCAGAAATTTTAGGTTTTTTTCTTTTTTTTTTTTTCAGAAATAAGTTGCAAGATTTCCCACTCTCTTTCTTGATCCTGCATCTACTCCCTTTCCAATATCTCAAGGCTCTTTAAGTGGTAGCATTATGTGTATGGGGGAGTCCCTGGTAGTCACTCCCATTCGTCTCTGTATCTTCATTTAATTTATGATATCACTAAATACTCTTTGGTTTGATTATTTCCCTCAGCAAAAAGATCATGGTAATAGCAGCAGCTGGAGCCCACCATAACCCTTCATTCCCAGTCCCTCCAATTCTAAACAACTTCCCAAACTTCCTTTTGAATTTAGGTTTAAAAAAAGAACACCAACTTGCTTGAACATCTTTTTCTTCTTGGTTCCAATGAACCTAACCCCACAGTTTTCAGACGCATCAACATAGAAGGCTGCGGACAACAACAACAACAAAAAAACTGTCCTCTAGTTGTTTTGTTTTTTCTTTTGCAGGCACTGAATCCAGATATGGCTGTTCAAGAACCACAGGCCATCACAAACATCATGTAGAACACAAAACAAAACAAAAACAAATACATGATTCTAGAACAAGCTGTTTTTTAATGGCATACCAGGAAATAATACCATGAGAGTTGATTATTTTGAAACTCCGATTAAAAAGGAAAGTGGGCAATGCTAGAATTCACACACACACACACACACAAAAAGGTGGGGAGGAAAACAAAAATAATAATAAAATAAAAATAGATGTATTGTTGAGCTGATGCAGGTGCAGGAGGAGGCTGGTGCTTCTAGCCAAGCAGAAGAAGGGGGAAATGAAGTGGGCTTAGTAACTTGTTGGAGTTCCACAGGAGATGACAATGATCAACTCACTTTCATCATGAGGATGAGAACTTAGAGGGAAAATGACATAAGTCTTTCCAACAATTATCTCCTTAACTTTGTGATTGTTTATGGCTATTTTTGATCCTGAAATACTGAGATAATTCTCATCCCTACCTCTGCCATCCAAAGGCAAATGTCATCTCTCCCTCTTAAATACTTAAGCTAAAGTGTTGAAGCAAAGTGTTTGTCCTCACCTCCCTGTCTTTGGCATTTACGGCTCTCTGTGACACAGCAAGATTCACTCCAGACTGAGCAGAAAAAGAAAAAAGCAAAAGGAAGAAAGGAAAGTAGAGGCCAAGCATGACCATGTCAAGCTAGAGATAGCCTGGTTGTCAAGGTAAAGAAATTGCCTACGGAACATGATATCTATTTATCTTTGATGCTAGATGGCTCTATTTGGAAGGTGCTAGGATGCCAACAAACTCAACCAAGATCTTATGGAACCAATATTAGAATGTGTTAAAAAAGAAAAAAAAAAGAGGGAGATAGCCCAGAAAATTCAAGGGGCACATCACCATTCTTTACTTTAATGCATTAACCTGTCCAGCACTCCCTATCAGGAAAGAAAAGGTGTGTGTGTGTGTGTGTGTGTGTGTGTGTGTGTGTGTGTGTGTGTGTTTCCCCTTTCTTCTTCCTCTTCAAATAAGCAGGTACAGGAAAGAATCTTAAAAGTACTACACTTGCTGGACTGGACTCTGTGTGTTTGCTACTTCTGTTTTTTGTGGTGTGTGTGTGGGGGGAGGAGTTCCTGGTTATTTTTGTTTTCTTTTTTCTTCCTTCCTTCCTTTCTTTCTTTCTTTTTTTTGAGAAAAGGTGCAAAACAGACAGGCTCTTCAAGGTCTTACTGCAGTTCAAAGTCTCTTGATTTCAAGGCAACCCTTGGAGCTTTATTTCTTTTTCTTTTTCTTTTAGCATAAGCTCCACTGTGCAAAAAAGTGTGCATTATCTTTGGTATTTATTTTAAGTAGTCTAACTTAAATTTTGAGATAATCCATTAACATTATGGAGAGAAAAAAAAAAACACAACAAAAATAAAACCCAGAGGCTACCATTTGGCTAGTGTTACGTAATGCCCTTATATAACCAGAGTGTGAGAGAGAAAAAGACAGACACAGAGACAGAGAGACAGAGAGACAGACACAGAGACAGAGAGAAAAAGAGAGCGATCAATTTTAACACAAATTACTAGTCTCAGAAAAATCAGGCTCTCCTTTTTGGCAGTTAATCGCCAAACACTTGCCACCGTGAATCACTTCGTGAGCTTTCAACCCGAGTTCAACACTGACTTTTAAATTACACACAAGAAAAACTACACTTGCAACAAAAATACACTTTGTGTTCATGTAGTTAGCAGCTTTTCAAAAAAATTAAGGCAGAGTGCTTGCTACCTTTGTTTTATGCCATTAAAAACATTCTTGTTCCCCTAAAGAAAAGCATTCTGGATAAGTTGAATATCCAAGCTAGGCTTGTCTGCAGATTCAAGTTTTGTAAAAAAACAAAAAAACAAAACACAAAACACAAAAACGATACATTAAACAATAACAAACCAAAAAACAACCCATAACTTATTCTACAACACGTATGTGCCTTTGGGGGTCACCCGGAGGCGTGCTGAGTGCATGCCACCCATCATTGAGCTTACAGTCTTTCCTGGAAACCTTTTGGCGAGCCTTAGTCCCTGGCGGGGGCGCTGACCTCTGAGCCAGTCCTGTGGTCTCTGTCACTCTCTCAGGCCTTTGACCCACAGACCGCGTGGTGGTGAAGTGAATAATAATCCCAGACAAGGAACCACTCCCCGCTGGCACACAACCAGTCATATCTCCGATTCTCGCCTTAAGGGTCTCGGCTCTAAGGGGACACTGGCCTGGTTGTGCAGGTCTAGGTCTGGGGGGGAGTCCGTACTTGTGCTTTCGGGGGGCCCGTTTTCACTGTCGTCTTCCTCTTTGCTGGTGAGGGCAACCTCGTTTTCGTAGCAAAAGGAATTCGCGTTGGAGAGGATGTACTTCTTCTCCGCTAAGTCCCTAGCACTGCAAAGAGGCGTGTTGGGGACCTCGTAAGTCTTGTGGAACCTGGAATAATCGACCTTGTAGTAATGCTTCTCTTCGAAGAGCACCGGCTCGTAGCGGTGACCCCACAGGATCTCGTTAGCCAGGTAAGAACTCCGGCACTGCGTGGTCATGGCCGTGGCCTCCACCATCCCTTCCAGGATCACCACAATCTCGAAGTCCGCGTTGTCGATGTCCTGCTTGCTCAAGTCATACAGGGGGCTGTCTTCGTCTATCTCGTGGACGATGGTGATGGGCGACACCAGGAAGATCCGGTCGATCCCGCTGTCGAAACCCACGTTGATGTCGATCTGGTCCAGGGGGATGTACTCCCCCTCGGAGGTGATGCGGGACTTGAGCAGCTGGGCGCGCACGTGCGCCTCCACCAAGTGGCTCTTGCGCAGGTTGCCCACGCGCCACATCAGGCACAGCTTGCCGTCCCGCATGGCGATCACGGCGTTGTTACTGAACACCAGGGTCTCGTTCCTCTTCTTGGGCTTCGCCATCTTCGCCATGACGGCCCCGATGATGAAGGCGTCGATGATGCAGCCCACGATCGACTGGAAGACCACCATGAACACGGCGATGGGGCATTCGTCCGTGACGCAGCGGAAGCCGTAGCCGATGGTGGTCTGCGTCTCGATGGAGAAGAGGAAGGCGGCCGTGAAGCTGTTGACCTCCGACACGCAGGCTTTGCTCTCCTTCGATGCATCCAGGTCCCCGTGGAGCAGAGCGATCAACCAAAACACGCAGCCGAAGAAGAGCCAGGACAGCACGAACGCCAGGCAGAAGATCACCAGCATCCACCGCCAGCGGATGTCCACGCAGGTGGTGAAGATGTCCGCCAGGTACCGCTGCCCCTTCTCGCCCACGTTGATGAACTGCACGTTGCAGTGGCCGTCCTTCTTCACGAAGCGGCTCCGGCACTGCTGTCGCGTGTGCACTTTGCTCTTCCCGTTCCCGAAGCCATTGGCCACCGCCATGGTGGCCAACTTCATGCCGTCTTCTTCCGAAGAGACGATGCTGTAGCGGTTGGTTCGCACACTGCCCATCGCTTCTGCTGGGGGCTCCAGTGCTTCTGCTTTGGGAAACAGTCTGAGTTTTTGCAAGACCCTTTGGAGAAACAGTTTTGAATGTTCAGTGAGGACACACGCACACAAAAAAATAAAATAAAATAAAATAATAAAACGAGGAGAGATGAGTTGTCTCCAAGAGCCTTGCAGTTCTACCAAGGTCTCCTGACGGACATGCAGTTACCTCTGTAACTCAGCAGACATCCAGAGAGTTTGTCCTGCAAGAGAAGAACACAGAGCCCTTCGTTACAAAAGAAGTCCTTTCCTGAAAGAGTAAGGCAGCATTTCCCAACCGAAACAGAACCGAATACAGAAAGAGTCTGCATTGGATTGCAGGGACCTTCATTCCTTGTTCCCTAGAATGTTTCCTTCCCTCAATAGTTACTCCAGATCACAAAAGTGTTGGACAGAGATGAGTTACCTGTAACACTCTTTCCACCAATCTTTCAATTCTCACCTCTTGCACTTCCGGCCACCTCTCTATTTAACCTCCAGGTTGACCTAGCAGCTCTTACTCTCTTCCTTTTTCGCCTTTCCTGCTTGTTAGGTTTCCAAGTCATTCAACCAAAGAAAGCCTTTCTGATTCCAAGGCTTGTCAACGAACTTTCAGAAAGAGAATATTTCCTGTCAATGCAGCCTTGATATTAATTGCACTGCAATGCATTATGGGGGGAAAATCGAGCCCTCCACGAGAAGGCCGACTTCAAGAGGCCCCGGCGATTTTGGGTGGGTGTTACAACTGAGCCCTCTCTGGGAATCATGTGAATGGATGGAAGTTTCTGGATCGAGTTTGGGTTTGGTCCATCGCTTTGCACACTTGGAGTAGCCACTGTGCAGCTATGCCTGCCAGCATCTCAGTTAGTAGGAATGATTCTGACTTGAAGACACAGCTTTGCTCTGGGGGATAGAGAGCAATTCTGTTGCTTAGCAATAAGAGTCGTTGAAATTCTCCAGAGATGGGATTGCCATGTGTAATGACAGGCTAGGAAGCAAGCACCTTTGTGCCAAAGGACCAGGTCTTTAGCGGATTGAGATAAGGCAGGAACTCATTTCGTGTAGGTCCAATGCTGGGTTCTTTCAGACAGAGACAACTTTGTAATCTAAGCAGCTCGTAAATGCCAGTCAGCTTACTTTCACTTCCAGGACTGTTGTTTGCTATAGGTTCCTATGGGGAAGGCATTCACCTTTACTTAACAAGAACAAATAGCAATTTTCATTTTCTTTTTCCAATTGCCTCATTCTCCCCTAGGTTAAGAACTACCTACGTGCATTAACTTTCCATCTTGACTCTAATAAAGATACATTATTCTTTGACTAACAACAGCCTAAGAGAAAGCCAAAGGTGTTTTCTTTATCAAGTTTGAATTCACAAAACGAATTCAACCTAGCACTAAAATATCAAAGTGATTCACACCTTTTTTTTTTTTTTTAAATTTTGCAACAACCAAAGGCATGTCCTGTATTGAAGGGAGACATCAGAAATTTGTTGAAATTCTGATAAGGCAGACACCCCTTTTTCTTTCTCCTCCCCAAAACCACACTAAAGATTAAGCAGTCACCAGAACCATTTTTCAGTCAAGCCCACTGAAGACAAATGAAGCAAAGCATTTATCCCAGTCTTGTGCATCCTTTTATAAAGAGGCAAGGTGCATTGTCTTCGAAAATGCCTTGTTACAGTCTTTTGACTTCTTCTATATCCAAGCGATTATGCAAGAATGTGCCCCAACACATTTTTCCTAAGATTAGTCATCTGTGAAAATTGCAATGTGTGTTACATTTTGGCAGCTTTTGACACCTAAATGATGCCCCGATTTGAAAGTGCCTTTGAATTACTTTCTAAAAAGAAGGTACAGTGCCTTCCCTACCTTCCACCTGCTTCAATGTTTTGTCTGCTTCCTTATGAAGCTTGCACTTGGACCAAAGGTGGAAAAAAAAAGATTCACAAACCTCAGGCTTGTAAATCATAAATATGGAAAGATTTCTTTTCCTCTTTTTTTTAAGCAGTGATTATTGGCTCACATGTAATTGCCAGGTATTTTTACACAAACACAGAGAAAGCAATGGGACACTCAACACAGGTGTACTTTTCCAATAAAGCAAGGACAAAAGAATCTTCATTTACAGAGGGTTTGAAGCTTGGAATTTGGCTTGACTTGAGACTATCTGAGTATAAACTGACACAAAGAAATTCCATTTACATGATTCAAAACAATCCATCAATCCTTCGATCTGAATTACCATGGGGGGAACATGAGCAGTATAATATCACCTCCAATTTATTTTGGCTTACTTCTTCACTCTTTACAGATGAGAGCCTAATAACCATATGAAATCTAAAGGCTGAAATATGCCTTTCCAAAGATCCTGATGTCAGGATGAGATTGTTTGAATTCCACAAACCACACAATACTAGCTTCCTATGAATAGCTTTCCCCATTTAGAGCCTTGAAAAAGGCCCATGTAAAGAGACTGTGTTATTCTCTCATTTCCACTGCTAATGGCAGAATTTGTTTCCTAAGTGGAGCACCATCTAGAAAATTTCTCATTTCTCTCTCGAAAGGGAAAATAAGTGGTTGCGTTGTGATCATTGTTTTAGGCAAAATGGAGACATTTGTAACTTCAAATAGATACCCCAGATATCTAATTATATGAGTATAATATGTGTGCACGCGCATTCTATATAGTTGGACTTTGTCGAGGTAATTACATCACAGAAGTGTAGAACCTGCCAGATTTGATAGGGTAACTGTCTTAAGAATCCAACACAAAAATTGCTTTCTCACATGCCTCAGTGGTGTTAAGTAGGCAGAAAATTTCCTTGCCCACTCCTCTCTCACTGGAGATCACCCATCCATGAGCATCTGTGGAAAGCTTTTGTGTCTTAAATTTAAAAATAACTAAGGCGTTCATGCCACTTTATTCCAAATCATCTTCTGAGAAACAATGAACTATAGAAACATGAGAACACTAAATGAGTTGATGGCTATAGCTCCAGAGAATGGATAGCTGGTTTGGTGAACAATGTATAAAATCCTCTTTCAGCTTTAATATTTACAGAGCTGGCTGTCAATTCAATGGACACAAAGAATCATTTTTGCCTAGGCCACAGCCAATGATGTAGAAAGTATTTCTGGGAAATTGAGAGGCTACATGTGGGGCTGTTCATGGTAAGACTATTTATAGGCTGAGCCAAAATTAAGCATAAGCAATGGAAAAAAATATTTCAGCGCTTCAATCTTAGGTAGATATGAAATGGGGCGGGGAGAGAGAGAGAGAAGAGATACAAGGTCAAAGAGATCACATGGGATAAATGAGGGACACTAAACTGCTTTCAGTATGTAGGAAATAGTTCCAATAGAATCTATTTTAAAGAAATAGAATTAAAAGGTAATCAAGAGGAGTAAAAGAGAATGACTATGTCTTATAATTATAGGCCAAGAACAAAGTTTCTGCCTAAGGATAGGAGATAGCTAAAGAAAATGCACTGGGCTATGAGAGGTCTGCTAATGAGTGTTTAGAGCAGCTATTCCCCAGCTGACGCCATATAGACCAGCCTAAGTGAGCTCTGGGTACAAGTTGCTATGTGAGCCCAACTGCTCTCAGAGCAACCTCTCTGCAGCTCAGTAAACAGAAAGGAAGAGAGAAGGAGGGGGAAGTGAGCAGAGGAGAGAGAACATCCCTTTATCTATGTGAGCTGTCTTCAACAACTATGTTCAGCAAGGCATGCTGCTGTGATGCACAGCATTTGCAGATTTTGGAAAGCAAACAATTGGTAAATAGTAATATACACGAAAACTGTCATGAAATGGTAGAGATACTTAGGTCATGTGGCTAATAGTTCAGGATACTCCAAAGTCATACAAGGACTCTACCATGAACTAGAAAAATCTTCAAATGAAGAGTCTGAAGGAGAGAGATACAATCCCAAAGGTATAAAACATCTGTTTCTTATGGATAGTAATAATCTAAAAAAACAAAGTGCCATCAATCTATGAGGGGAGGGGCAGACCTTGACCTCAACTCTCACCCCTCCCTTCATATCCCAAGTAACATGTGTCTTTCCTCCAAAGCATCAGGATTTTTGTGGATGGTGACAAATATAAAGACTCAGAAGGGAGCAGGAAGAAACTAACAAGTGTAACAGTGTTACATAGCAGACACACAACAATTGGTAGAAAGGAAATCTGACAGCCTATTGATTATTAGTGTAATGATAAAACATGATTAAAAAGTCAACATTCTTTGCATGTCCAAAACAGATTTTTTTCCAATAACACCTCTTTCCCAACATCCCAAGTTTATGAAAATCTCCAGAATTCTCTTTATCATCACTATGCTACTGATACATTCACCCAGACAGACTTTAAACTACCTATTCCCTATTTCTAATTTCTTTCTTCAGTTGTCATGATGAATTCATGTTCTGATGCAATCTTTGTGCAGACTCAAGTTGTAGTGATCTTTGCTTCCTTGAAACCAAATTGCAACCAAGGTAAGGCATTGATACCATTATTAATGAGACTAACAAAGTGCTTAGGGCAGGGTGACATATGATGGGAAAGTTCTGCCGTCTTCAGGCTCAAAAATACAAACTCAAGCTGGGGCGCTCTTTCCCCCAGCAAAGCAAGTTTAAGATTCTTACTCTGGAAAGCCCCACTTGAAACAACCACCAGAAAGATAATAAAATAAAATAGACATCAGGATCCAGAAGAAGTTTTGATTTGGGAGAGCAAGGGTAGGGGAGTGCAGGGGAGAGGTGTCTGGATCTCAGAAGAGGGCTCATATCATACCTCCAGCCCTCCCTGCCCACCCCTGCTCCTTTTCTCACCCCTTTGTCTTTTTTGTTGTTGTTGTTGTTGTTGTTTCCTTCTATCTTTTCTCCTAAGAAGAAGAAACAAACTCAGACTCGCCCCTGCACTGCAAATCCGGTATCTCTCTACAGCTGGTACATTGGAAGTTATGAGCACAAACAGACGTTGCAAGAAATCTGTGTCTGTTGCTCAACTGTTCCAAGCATGTCTCAGTATTTTTAGCTCTGAGGATGTTCAAGGGCTCGCACAAACTACCCAGGCATGAGTTTGGGACGTTTGAGAGGAGGGGTGAAATGGGGGGGGGGAGGGGGCGCGACGGAAACATGACAGCTGGGCATCTTGGGAGCAGCCGGGCAGGGGTTAGGGCAGGAGACGAGTTTATTCTCTAGGACAGAGAGACACGGAATGAAGAAAGAAACCGCCCCCCCCCGCACCCCCCCCCCCCCCCGCACACAAGCCCTTACCTGTTGCTGGCACAGTAGCATGGGGACATGGAGTAGAAGTGGAGGGATACAGAGGCATGTAAGATCCAATGGTTTGTATTAAAAAAAAAAAAAAAAAGAGTGAGTCAAAGCAATGGAGAACTCCCAAGGAAAAAAAAAACCAGACCCAAGCTTCGGATGGCTGCGCGCTGGCCAGAGCTCCAGTGCGCTCTGCGCTATCCTGGGCTCTTTTGAGGCAGCCAGTGCGATACCGGCCCTCTCGGCTCCGCCTCCTGGCTGCAGCCAGCCAATCGCAGCGCGCCTGAGTCCCCACCCCCTCCCTTCCCGCGGCGAGGAGGGGAAGGGAGGAAGGAGGGAAAGGAGTGGGGTGGGGGGGAAGATGCTGCCAGTCCCGGGAACCTGCGGCTGCGTCCTCCCTCTCCGCCCCTCCGCAGCACCGTTTTGGGGGTGGAAGGGGTATGGGGGAGTCACAGGGCTAGGGTTTGGGGTCCCCCACGGCCAAGCTGGGACAAGCAGCAGGTGGGAAGGTTCGCGGCCGGGGCTTCCGTGGCTGGCTAATTGCAGCTGAGCCTTGGGCAAGGCTTCCTACCCCTGTAAACCCCACACACTTCCCTGGCTGTGCGTGCTCCTAGTAGGGCACGCGAGGTGCTGGTGCGGGGCGGAGGGCTGGAGGTTGGGGGTGGGGGGTTGGAGGGAGGGGGGTGGTGGAAAAGTTGCACGTCCGACAGGGTTGCAGGTGTCCCCCATCCCAACTCACCCAAAGCCCCCTTTTCTTCCAACTCCACCATTCCCCCCACTCTCCCCGCGCGCCCGACCCCCCCGAACCTGCAGCGCGCACGCACCGAGCAACAGCTAATTAAACCGGGGCAGAGAATCCAGCAGGAGTTAGACGCAAAAATAGATAGATAGATGATAGATAGATGATAGATAGATAGATAGATAGATAGATAGATAGATAGATAGATAGATAGATAGATAGATAGATAGATAGATAGATAGATAGATAGATAGATAGATAGATAGATAGATAAAAACGAAAGAAAGAAAAAAGAGAGAGAGAAAAGGTAGCAACTGCTTGGCTATTCGGTTTTCCAGGCTGTTGGTGAATTCCTTACAAAATGCCTAGACTTTTCTGGAGGATGAACCGCTTCCTTGCTCTTGCCTAGTCCATCCTCGATTCCTCCTCCTCCTCCTCCTCCTCCTCCTCCTCCTCCTCCTCCTCCTCCTCCTCCTCCTCCTCCATCCACCACCGCCACCAACACCATCGCCACCGCCACCGCCACTGTCACCGCCAGGCACGCTCGGCTGATCTAAAAGCAGAACAATTAAGAGAATAATGAATTCTCTGGAACAAGCAACTCCTACAACCGTGCTCTGCCTTCGCACCAAGCGCCTCCCAGCTCAGCTCTCGCGTTCCATTCTCAGCAATCAGGAGAGAGAAGGGGAGGACAGACAGATAGACACAGAGACATCCGGGCAGACCTTTTAAAAAGAATCAACCCGAGAGTTAAACTGCAAGTTGGGATCAATCGAACCGCGTGCATCGGTTCTGTAAAGTGAATGCATGGTCTCTCAGTGCTTTCAGTATCGTTACGAGATTTTCATCTTAGAGCACACTATTTGAGTCTTTTCTTTCCATGACGTTTGCATTCCCTGTGTGTTTTAAATATTTGTGTGTATATGTACTTCAATGTTTTATTTCCTCAAGCGATCAAAGGCATTCTAGGAGCGGTTTATTCTCTCTAAAGGTCTCCTTAGATTCCCCAACCTACTTCCACGAACTAGCTCTCATTCTGGGCAAAAACAGCCTGGTGGGTTTTGTGTCGAGGGAGGTGAACCGGTTCCCTCTCCGAGTTTCACATCTCCACGTGGCCCCTAGGAGGTGCTGGTGAAATACACTTGGATTTCTTTTCTTCTTCAGACCCATAGTTAATCCTGCTTTAGCAAGTGTGTCTCTTTTCCTAGCACTTGAGCAAGACACTTAAATCACCGGGGTGTGGAGAAGGTCTTGCACGCGCTGTGAACTTGCGATGGGCCACATCGCTGGAGTCCATAGAGCTCTGTGACTAACACCATACCTTTGAAAGCCTTGCGCTGGGAACACTCACAAGGGGAAGGCTGCTGCGACATGTATGAAGTCAGCTGCCACTTGTACTCAGCTCCAGTTAAATCTGAACAGGGAGATGCGTAAGAACCCAGGCTACAGGTAATAAGGCATCTGGGAGACCCACAGATTAATGCTGTGTCCGCCAAAGATGGAGAAAGGATTAATTACTGGTTTCAGTTCAATGGGCAGCCTCTTGGAGTTCTTAAAAAATAAATAAATAATAACTAAAACAGGCTGAAAGTTAAATCAATCCCCTAAAACATATTAAGGCTTAGTTGGGGGAAAAGGGAAAGGGGGGGGGGAGAAATCATCTTTTATGCATTTTTCTCTTCTGTATTTTATTCTCAGTGAGAGCCTCTGCAGATATAGCTAAGAATTTTACAGATCATGTGAATTCAGAGGTAATACAATTTCTTTTCCTTTCCTTTCCTTCTTTCTTTCCTTCTTTCTTTTTTCTCTTCCTTCCTTCCTTCCTCTTTAAAAATTTCTTTGTTTTTCTTGCAGGCATTAAGTTCTGTTGGAAAAAAAAAATCACTCACCCAGAAAGGGACAGCAAGTTTTGCTGAAGTTTGGATTGAAATTGTTTAATACTCTACCGTAGGTAAAATGAAGGTGGGGTCATAGGGTAGGAGAATCACTAGAGAAATGAACCCAGAGTGGTAAGATTTTACATGGCTACATTCATGGAGCTAGTGGAACACAGAATGAATATACCCCACTTTTTCTTACTCACCCATTGGCATTGTTTTTCACCTCCACTTCAGCCCACTAAATAATGTTTACATTCCTAAGGAGAAGGTCTCAGGAAAGGTACTGATTTTACTAAGTAGCTTTCAAGTCTGGGGAAATAGTGTTTCCCTTAATCATTGATGCAAATTAACACATAAAGGATTAAATATTGAAACTCAAAGCTTGTCTAAATATATGTGAGCATTTTCTAGCTACATTGCTTTCACTTTAAGGATATATTATATATATATATATATATATATATATATATATATATATATATGCATCCTAATTAAGAAATAGTTTTTAACTCTATCCCTGTAAGGAATTTTTTATGTGCCAAAGCATTAGGACTCGGGTAAATATGCTTTTTTTGGAGTGATGCGTAATAGAGATTTCTCTAGTCAGCCTATTTTTTTTTTTGGCTGAGTCAGGTCTATTTAGAAAAATTCCCCATTAGTTTCAGACACCATTCCTGTTGAGTGCTGGGATCCATCTGTAGATTAAATTTTTCCAAGGAAATGACAATTATGCTCCTACTGATCCCCTCCACGGCAACCACTTATAATATTAGAACCGAATATTAGTCATAATTTGGATTCACAGGCAGATATACATGACACACAGAGCTGGTGTTCCATTAGGAACACAAATCTTTCCTTCACACTTCTAGAAAGATCACCAACAATGAGACATATTTTAAGACTTCCAAGTATATATATGTACAGACAAATATATATTCAATTCACACTCACAGCAATGAAAAATGAATAGCGACTTGCATTTGCATTCACTTACTGATCAATCTTTTGAATAATAATCAATAGTAATAAACAACGAACATCATCAGAGCAGCTTGAGATGTAGACAGGATATTTCTGCAGTCTACTAAGAACAAACCACAGCCAGGTGCTGGTGGCTCACACCTGTAATCCTTGCTACTCAGGAGGCTGAGGTCTGGGGATCATGGTTCAAAACCAGCCCAGGCAGGAAAGGCTGTGAGACTCTTATCTCTAACATTAACCAACAAAAATCCAGAATTGGAGGTGTGGCTCAAAATGGTAGAGCACTAGTCTTGAACAGAAAAAAATAGTTCAGGGGCAGCACCCAAATCCTGAGTTCAAGACCCATGACCAACAAAAATCAAACAAACCAAAAAGAACAAACCAACTAGTAGGGCATTTTAAAACATTGAATGTAACCTTCTCTATTGGGACACAGCTTTGCATTCTGCAGAACCTCTTTGGCTCTAAAACGTAAGCATTTTCACTTACCACTCTGGTTATTTAATCTTCTTATTAAATTCAATAATCATATTTGCCAACTAAGTACCAGGTAACACAGGAGACAGGAAAGTCCAAGAAGCAAACTTTTTGTCCTACAGAGTTTGAAATTTTGATTTTGGAAGACAAAAACATTGCACAAGTAAAATGTTTCAGTGAGTAAATTCTGGAAGATTTAATACATGATTACTTATTGCCAGATGCAGTGCTATTGAGCGTTTTGAAAATAAGTCAGAAGACACAACTATGTACTCATTCACCTGATATTCTGAAATACCCATAATGCACAAGTCATATACAGTCATGTGTATAAGTAAATTCTAAGTATAGCATGTTCTTAGTGAGTGCTTTTATTCATACAGAGGCACCAAAGTAACAGCTCACAATATCAATTTGTATCTCTCATACCCAGGAATGTAGCATCCTACATCATAGTTTCATTGTTGTTGATGTTGGTTTTGGGACTTGAACTCAGGGCTTAGGCTCTATTCCTGAGCCTCTCTGTGCTCAAGGCTAGAGCTCTACCATTTGAGCAACAGTGCCACTTCCAGTTTTTGAATGGTTAATTGGAGATAAGAGTCTCACAGGGACTTCTCTGGCTAGGCTGGCTTTGAACCATGATCCTCAGATCTCAGCCTCCTGCATAGCTAGGATTACAGGTAAGCCACCAGCACCTGGTCATCATATATTTTTAAGTGATTACAGTGTGTTTAACTAGCATGTTTTATTCCTCTCATGCTATTAAAATATTTTCACGTATTTCCCGTTCATAGGCTTTTCAAAATCCAGTGCTGTATCTTCCTTACCTTCAATATCTTTATCCCCTTGCAGTTGGCCAGGTACGTAAGTCCTCCTCCGCAAAGGTCCGTGGAACAGGAAATGAACCAATAGATATTAATATTCAGTATGATATGCCATGACTCAGTGCTCTGTGCTTTGAATATGGCACATCTTCCACAGCTTGAGGTGCTGAATGTCCCCAGCTGGTGGCACCATTTGGGGACATGGTGGAAACTTTAAGAG